GTTTACCATTTTTTAAACAGGAGGAGGAAGGAAAAATCTTATACCTGAGGGGACACTGGAGCAACGTCCTAGTGATGGGGAGCGACCCACCACTTCTCTCAGAAAGTTCACGGGAAGCAGGGGGAAGAGGGTGTGGAGAGGCCCTGAGGTGCACCTGTGCTTGGGGCATCAGAGGCACCTCGAGGAGCTGGTGTAGCCAGAGTGGTGTGGGAGGTAGAGGGAGAGGAGGACATGGCCCCAGTGCATCACAAGGCCACACCACGAGGCCTCAGGGAGGCGAGAGGGTTCTAAGCATGATCTGAGCGAGGTCTGAAAGGGGGTCCCAGAAGTATCTGTGCACAGAGTGTCTCTGGGTGTGACTGGGTATCTGTGTGCTCACCGCAGGGCCTGGGTAGGTGCTGGCTTCACAGTTCTCCCTCCAGGACATGTTGAGGCTGCGGACAAACTCAGGGTAGAAGGGGTGGGATGTGTTGAACATGGAGAAGCCCAGGATGTTGGAGGAGTCCTCCACAATACCGTCCAGATGCAGGATGGGGAAGTCCTGGGACCAGAAGAGGTGGTGAGGCCTGGGGCCGAGACCTAAGTGGGACAGCTGTGGTGGGAGGGAAGTGGGGGCAGAGAGGGGCCAGAAGGCCTACGCACCATGGTGGTGAGGATGTACTTGTAAAACGCTGAAGTCATTCCCAGTTCTGAGGCCTGGAAAACACAGGGAGGCAAAGAGGCAGAGTGAGAGACAGAGACCCACAGGCAGAGATGGGGAGGACTCAAGAGAGGAAGAGAGATTTAGAGACAGACCTGGTGAGAAGACATCCCATGGGAAACACAGTAAAGTAAGAAATGCTCAGAGATAGACAGACAGGGAGGAGGAGACAAGTGGGGGCAGAGGGAGGCCTTAGTCCGTGGTGTTCTGCCATGCTGACTGCTGTCCCAGGTGGGATGGAGATTTTGCTAGAGGAGAGAATAGGGTCCCCAAACACCCCCATCTCTCATGAAGGCACTTACAAGATTTCCTTCTGGAGACAGGTAAGAAGAAGTCTCAGAAATAGGGCAGGAAGGGGAATTATTATTTTTATAAAGATAGGATCTTGCTCTGTTACTGAGGCTGGAGTACAGTCGATCATAGCTCACTGAAACCTTGACCTCTCAGGCTTAAGTGATCCTCCCACCTCAGCTCCTGAGTACCTGGAATCATAGGCATGCACCACAATGCCCAGCTAATTGAAAAAAATTTTTTTTGTGTGTGTGTGTGGAGATGGGGTCTTGCTATGGTTCCAAGCTCCTGGCCTCAAGCAATCCTCCTGCCTTGGCCTCCCACTGTGCTGGGATTACAGGTGTGAGCCACCAGGCCCAGCGGAGAGGAGAGCCTTAATTTTAAGCCTTACACTCTCCAAAAGCCAAGGTTGGGCTGCTAATGTGTAGGGCTCAGCCCAGGCATAAGGTCAGAAAATCGATTCCCTGCAATCTTTAAGAGTGCTTTGCAATAATAGCAGCCAGTTTGAATGTCAAGATTCATTCTTGAGCCCCTTTTCTCATAGTCCTCAAGGAAAACAAAGCTGGAAAAATTCTTCCTGCCAGAAGCACCCAAGTCTGTCCCCCCACGAGAATTATAAAATTAAAGGGCACCAGCTTGCATTTCCTGGGTGGCAGGAGTTGGGCTCTCATCACGTGGGTGTCAGGGAAGGGCAGGCTTGGAAAGGGAAGAGACAACTGTTCACACGGCTGGCACAGGAGGGGACAGGATCCCAGCCCAGGCCTGCCTGGCTCCCAAACCTGAAACCTCTTCCTTAAGTCATCCTGTCTCAAGAACCCAGTGGATTCTGTTCACACTTCCTGTGGGCTACAGCCAGCAGTGATATATGGGTTTTTTGTTTTTGTTTTTGTTTTTTTTTGAGACCAACTCTTGCTCTGTCACCCAGGCTGGAGTCCAGTGGTGCAATCTCAGCTCACTGCAACCTCCACCTCTCAGGTTCAAGCGATTCTTCTGCCTCAGCCTCCTGAGTAGGTAGAACTACAGGCACCTGCCACCATGCCCGGCTAATTTTTTTGTATTTTTAGTAGAGATGGGGTTTCACCGTGTTACCCAGGATGATCTTGATCTCCTGACCTCGTGATCTGCCCGCCTCGGCCTCCCAAAGTGCTGGGATTATAGGCATGAGCCACTGCACCTGGCTGACATACGGTTTTAATTTAAAAAAAAAAAAAAAAAGTAGAGAAAAATAAATAATACAAATTTGGTTACTGGCCGGGTGCGGTGGCTCACGCCTGTAATTCCAGCACTTTGGGAGACCAAAGCAGGCAGATCACTAGGTTACTAGGAGTTCAAGACCATCCTGGCCAATATGGTGAAACCCTATCTCTACTAAAATACGAAAATTAGCCAGGTGTGGTGGCAGGTGCCTATAGTCCCAGCTACTTGGAGGCTGATGCAGGAGAATCGCTTGAACCCAGGAGACGGAGGTTGCAGTGAGCTGAGATTTCGCCACTGCACTCCAGCCTGAGCGACAAAGCAAGACTCCGTCTCAAAAAAAAAAAAAAAAAGAAAAAGAAAAAAAATACATGCAAAAACACCTTAACACAGAGCTCAATAAAAAATGTTTAAAAATCCTTCAGTGCTACGATGTAGCCAGATCTGACTCTGGGCCAGGCACTGCCCTACATACTTTACTTGCCACTCACTCATTATCCTCACAACCCACTGAACAGTGACTATACACAGGCAGATGGGGTGACTGCCCAGGACCACACAATCAGGAAGCAGGCGGGCTGAGAGACAAACTTTACAATTATCATCTTCACGGAAGAAGAAGGTCTTGAAGCCCCCTTTTGACTCCTGAGGCCCAAGGCATTGGGTGACTTGCTCAGTCACCCCAAGTTTCTGGCCCCAGTCCTTTGGGAAATTAGAGGTGGGGGGCTCACCTTACGGAGGATGAGGTGGGAGATGGAGGCGTTGGCATCGATGATGATGGTGGACACCTTGTCGTCACGGATCTCCTTGAGCAGTGGCGTGGGGTCCCGGCTGTCGTCCAGCATCCTCACTGACAGCGTCTCCTTGGAGATGAGGAAGCCACGCACCAGTTCCTCCAATCGCAGCAGGCCTGAAGGAGGGGTGGGGCCTTGGGTTGGAGCCCTTCTAGGTACCCAGGCATGGCACAGACACTCACTCTTCCTCAACATGGGGCAGCTGGGCAGAGGACTGGAGGGTGTGCAAGGACATGGGGCAGCTGGGCAGAGGACTGGAGGGTGTGCAAGGACATGGGGCAGCTGGATCCCATGGGGTAATGGGCTTGGGGACTCGAAGCCTGGGCCCTCCCCAATTAAAATCCCAACCTAGACCTCTTCCTAGAACTCCAGATTCCTGTCTCTGCCACCTTCCTGACCCCTCACTGGGGTGTCTGACAGGCATCTCATGCTTAATCTCCTTGCTCAACCACCACGGCTTTCCCGTGTTGGTGAACAGCATCTCCAGTGTGCCAGTTGCTCAGGCCAAAACTCTGGCTTCCTCTCTTTCACACCCAATCCATCAAGGCCCTACCTTCCAAACACATCAGATCCCCTTACCCCATGCCACTGTCACCACCCTGCCCTGAGCCACCACCAATTCCTGCCTGCTGCAATCCCCAAGCCTGCCCCTGAGTCTGTTCCGTACACAGCAGCCAGAATGATGCGGGTCAGATGTGCTCCTCCTCTGCCCCAAACCCTCGAATCACTTCTCAGTTCAGTCAGAGTCATTGAGGCCGAAGTCCTCACAGCCTCCAGGGCCCCACACAATCTGCCCACCTCACTCCCTTGTTACTGCCCAGACTGCAAGAGTTCAAGACCAGCCTGGCCAATATAGTGAGACACCATCTCTTTAAAAAAAAAAAAAAAAAAGGGTGCTTGTTGAGCATGTGCTCTGAGCCAGGCTCTGCTCTTAGTATTGGGGGTCAGCCATGAGTGAAGCAGACCGGGTACAGGATGAGGAGATGAGCGGGGCAACAAATACCGCAAATAAGTGCATTACATGGTTAGAAGTAATGAGTTCTACGTTAAAGCAGAAGTGAGTTATGAAGACTGGGAGTCTAGTGTGGGTGTGGGGTACAACTTTAAATGAAATGGTGGGCAGGGGACTCATTGAGACACTAGAGTACAGACTGATCCCTAATAGCCTAATACCAAGAGCCGGGCCTGGCACATAGCAGCTGCTCGATAAATACCTTTTTTTTTTTTTAAACCACCCAGCCCACAGCCCTTCCTCTCCCCACCACTCACTCTCTGGGCTTGAGCCACACCGCCTCCTTGCTGTTCTGCACACACCGCAGTCTTGCTCCTGTCCTGCAGCCTTCATGCTGGCTATTCCCTTGGCCTGGAACCCTCTTCTTTCACATCCTCACATGGCTCCCTCCTTCCCCTCCTCCAGGTCTCTACTCCAACGTCACCTTCTCAATGAGGCCCTCGCCCACCATTTCATTTAAAGTTGCACCCCACGCCCACACCCTTCTTCATAAGTCATTTCTACTTTTCCATAGAACTCACTATTTCTAACCATGTAATACACTTATTTGTGGTGTTTTTTGCCCAAGTCCTCTCATCAGAATGTACTTGGACTACTTCACCCACGCCTGACCCCTAATACCAAGAGCAGCGCCTGGCACAGAGCAGGTGCTCAATAAATTTTTTTAAAGAGATGGGGTCTCACCATGTTGCCCAGGCTGGCCTTGAACTCCTGGCCTCAAGCCATCCTCCCACCTTGGCCTCCCAAAGTGCTAGGATTATAGGTGTGAGCCACCACGCCTGGCCCAGTAAATACTTCTTGAAGGAGGAATTCCTTCTAGAGGCTATGGAGCACCGTCCCTCCCTGCCTCAAGCTCCATACCCACAAATCCACCAGTCTACCAGACATCTCACATGAATGTCTCAAAGACACACCATGCCCAACGTGTGCCCCTGATGAATAGTGTTCCTCCTTGGCAGAGGCCTCACACCATCCCTAGCCCCACCCTCTTCCTTCCGTCACTGCCTCTCACATCACCCTGGCCCCCTCATTCCAACTGCCACCACCTGGGCCCAGACCAGTGTTGCCACTCCCTGCCTTTCGCTTGTCTCCTTGCCACCCCTCTTGTCACTCTCTAGCCTGTTCTCTACACTGCAGCCTAAGCGCTCTTCCTAGAACACGAATCTGACCCTGTCCCCTCGCCCTGCCCTGCATGGGGACCTCCCATGGCTCCCATCATCTCTTGCTTCGTTGTTCCCATATTTCAGCCACTGGGAGCATCTGTAAGTCTCTTGAAGGGCCGTGCTCCCTGGGCCCTCTACCTCTGCCCTTGCCACACTCTGCTTAGAACCTGTTCCCTCTTTCTTCCCACACCCTTCAGGTTCAGCTTGGATGTCTCTTTCTCATAGGCACAGGCTCTGAACCTCCCAGATGGATTAGGATCCCTCCTATGTGATACCAGAGGCTCCACATGCCTCTTGGCAGCACACGTACCACTCTGTATCACAACAGCTCAATGACCAATGACCTCCACTAGAACCGGAGTTCCAAGCACCCAGGGACCACGCCCAGGGCCTAGCAGAGGGCCTTGACATGACAGGTGCTTAGTCATCATCTGGGGACTAAATGGATCTCTTTGAGGAGAGAAGGGGTCTGTGGAACCAGAGGCCTCGGTTTCTGAAGATGGGAGAAGAGCCTGGTGTCTGGGTGCCCCAGAGTTCTAACTAGCGGGCAGTGAACCACTGTGTGGGACACCAGATCTCTTGGGAAGGGGTGTCTGGGGAACAGAAAACAAAACATCCAGTTCTCCCTCACACTCAGCCTTGGCGCAGATAAGGCTGGCCGAGGGGTAGTTGAAGGACTTGAGGATTCGGGAGACTGCCAAGCTGACGTCCTCGTTACTGGGGTACAGGCTGACAGATGCGAAGCGAAGGTACTGAAGGCGGGGTGTCTCCTCGGGACCCACCTTGATGTGGGGGATCTGGACAGAGAGGAAACTTTGGCCTCCATCCTGCTTCTCCGCCCAGCCCTTGCCTCCCAGGGACCCACTCCCCGCAAAGCCCTGGGCCCATGCTCCCCACCTCACCTCCTTCTCTCCACAGATATGGCTCACAGTGGAGGCAGATGCTGGGCTGGAGGAGGGCCCGAGGACAGACACAACCCCTTTGGGCAAGATCTGACACACTGCAAGGGAAGGGGAAGAGACCACAGAGTCAGGAACCCCCTGCCTCCTCTCCTTCCCCATCTCTCAGGGAGTCCCCATGGCCCAGGAGAGGATCAGGCACTGGCAACTGCCTGATCCTCTTCTGCCATCCGGGACCCAGAAGGACAGTCTCTGACCCCACCCAACAAGTGAACATGAGGAGGCATGAGACAGAGAGAGATGAGGACACAGCAACAGAGGGACAGGTCAGGCCAAGGGAGATCAAAGGAAGGGATAAAGAGAAAGAGACACCAGGGGCCTCCTCTGCCTGCAAAGCCTGTGCCTAGTCCCTCAGCCGCTGTTGTTCTCAATCTTTTCAGCCATGCCACAACCCACGGTGCACTCACTACCTCCTCCCCTGACCCCGCAGCCCAGGTCCCCTGAAGCCTCCTCATATTCCAAACACCACTCTCCTGCTTTACCTACTTCCTCCTCTTTCTTCTGCTCTCTTCCTTCTTAGACACATGCGTGTCTCGAGACTGGGAGGTGGAAAGCTGCTGTTTTTGCTTGTCCAGTGCCTGTTTTCATGGCAGAACCCTAACTTCTCCTGGGGGAACTATCCCCACCCTTCAGTCCAGTGTTCCCAGGATTGACTGGCACCTGATGCAGGCCTTGGGGAGTCACAGAACTCCATTCTTCTAGCCATGGCAACTGGTTCAGAGATACGTATGCGCGCAAATCAGACCATGGAGCACCTTCCCCAGGTCTTTTGCTACAATTATCACTGGGTTTGCTAAACTGGTGAGATGTAAGCTTGGTGCTGCTGGGGCCATCTCACCACCAGCTGAGAGAGCATTTCTGAAAATAAAGCCAACTCAGAGGAAAGCAGGCCTCAAAAGTAAAGACACAGAGAGATTCTCCAGGATGTCATTTGAATACCTGAATCCAGCCATGCCTGAAACAATCCTAGGCCATCGTTTGAACACCTGGATTCAACCACGCCTGAAATTTGTCCGTAGGTCTTTTAGTGACATTTGCTAATATGTTCTCTTTTTTCCTTAAACCAGGCTGAGTTTGGTTTCTGCCACCTCTAACTAAAGGCATCATAACTGAACACCTCATTTCCTCCAAATTGGCTCCTTCTGGACCTTCCACACTGGTGAGTGCCCCACCATCCACACAGACCAGATGCCTGGAAATGGTCCTTGCCTTCAATCTCTCTCCTGACAGCCAATTAGTCACCACGTCCTGTCTCTTCTTTGTCCTCAAATATCTCACATCTGTCCCCTTCTCTTCAACCCCTTGGCCCCTGCCCTAGTTTAGGACTCTCAACTCAGACATATACCAGAGTTCTCACTCATTACCCAAATCCAGCCTCCAGATTCTCTTTCCAGAAGCCTTGCTCCCTGGTATAGACCTATCAATGGCTTCTCAGTGCTTGTGGGTGAAGGCGGCATCTTTCACCCCAGCACTCTAGCCTCCTTGAGCCGGCCTGACAGCCTGCACAGCCTCGCTTCCTACTGCCTCACACTTAGCTCTGAAGTCTCTCACAATCTCTCCAAATATGCCCTGAATCCAGGTGGATTCAGGATGGGCTCAACCCCACACACCCTCATTCCTTGGCCCCAAATATTTCCCTCTGCTCCCACCCTGATCCCCACCCCATCTCCAGACTCTAGGCACATGCCTGGAATGCCATCTGCCTCCACACCCTCCATCCCAGCTTCTCCCAAATTGTACTCTGTGCCACACCAGCCAAAAAAGCCTGGGAAATGCCATACCCCATTCTCCCTCTTAGTGATCTGAAACATGCAGTAACACCATAAAGCCTCTGATAAGGTCTGCAGGAAAGAAACCTGTCTAAAACATGTTTTAAGGCAGCATCTCCCGAAGGTCTAACTGCAGCACATCTGTTCAAGTGACACCTTCGAACATTCAGCCCATTAGTATTCCATAGACACTTCCACACCCCCGTCATGTGGCCGGCTGTGCTTGGAGCCATGCCACTCCTTCTACATCCTGTTCACCTTTCAGAGCCCAGCTTCAGACTAGCTTTCTCCAGAATGCCTTTGCTGACCCTCGCGCAAGCCTCCTGCCCTCCATGCCTGGGGCTTGTTATTAAGCTCTGGGGGCTAACAAGCATCCATGGCCAGCTGGGATGACAGGGCTTATCTTTCCAATGCCACCCTGCGCTCCTCCAGAGCAGACCTGGGGCTTATGCTCTCCCTCTTCTCCAACCTCCAGGCCCAGCAGCAGCCATGTCTCGGAAGAAGGCAGAGACAAACACAAAGGAAGGGGGAAGATGGAGCTAGAAGAGGACAAGACCAGGCCAGAAGCCAGGGGCAAAGGGATGGACTAAGGGCCACCGGCCTGCCCTGCCTCACCCCATGCCCCCAAGGCCCCGCTCACTGGTGTCCGTGGTCTCGTACTGGCTGTCCCGCTGCAGCTCAAAGATGTCTACTTCCACTCGGGCCTTGGCTGGGACCTCGATGATCCCGTTGATCTGCTCCCGGGCCAGGGCTAAGGCCAGACGCTCACCGCGGCCACACACTGTCTGATCATCCAGGATTGCAGCTGAGGGGACACAGGGGTTGGGGACCAGACTCCTGAGTCATGAGGAAGGAGGGGGCTGCGGTCTTGGACTCCTGGGCTCTAGGGTGAGGTAGGTGTAGGGACCAGGGGTCTAGACACCGGGGTCTAGACACCTGGATCTGAGGTTGGTAGGAGCTAGGGGTCTGGACTCCTGGGTCCTGGGGGAAGGAGGAACTGGAGGCTGGGACTCCTTGCTGCTGAAGAGAGTTGAGACCCAGGTCCTGAGGGACTGGCATGCATGGGTCCCCAGAGGAACCCCAGGGCCTGACGGGAGGGTCTCTGAGGACACAGGGGCAGGGTGCGGGAGGGCCTCACCCATGCGCAGTGATGAGAGCACCTGGCAGCTGGGGCTGGCGAAGGCAACAATCAGCAGCAGCAGCAGCTCAGCCGGCATCTTCCTCCCCTCCTCATGGGGACGCAGCTGCCGCGGCCCCCACTTGCCACCTACAGGGAGACCCCCCAGCCCAGGGGGAGATTACTATGTGGTGGGATGGAACCCCTTGGAGGCCTGCTGGATGGGGTGATCACAGAAGCCTTGGGGACATTGTTGGCAAGCAGTTCACAGCTCTGCAGAGCCCTGCTCTGTTCAGAAGCTGGCAATACTGAGGGCATTGCGAGAAGGGAAGCTCAGCTCAGAGAGGAGAGTGGAGGTCACAGTGCTCAGGTGCTGAGTGGGACAGGCTGCAAGAGAGAGGATGGGCACAGCTACCAAAACAGGAGGGAGGCGTGCAAGGTTCTCAGGTAGGAGTGAATTCCTGGGACCAGCCCCACCCTAATAGGAAACCAGGAAGTGCCACCCCCCACCCAGTCCCGCCCCTGTCTCTGGGCAGGCAGCCGTTACTAGGCAACAGAAACCAGCTGGAGAGGATGCAGTGGTTGCTAGGCAACCCCATCCCAGGCCTCACTTGCCACTTCCTGACGTCCCTGGTTCCCACAATCCCATGGGGAGAGAGGCCTGGACATCCGAGGTCTGGAGGGGAGAGTATCCAGGAGTTAAGAAACTTCGGGAGAGATGGAGAAAAAGAGAGAGAGGCACACACAGAGCCCCATAGATGAATGGACCCAGAGCAGTAAAAGAGCTAAAAAATAAATAAATAAATAAATAAATAAATAAGCAAAGAGAGAGAAGGGAGGAAACAGAGAAAGTGAAAGAGAGGCTTAAAGAAGTGAAAGAGACTCAGAAAAAGAGAAAGGACAAAATAAATAGAAATACAAGGGAAGACAAAGACAAGACAATAGGAAAATGGGGGTAGAAATGGAGAGAAAAGAAGAGAGTTACAAGGAGCTAGGAAGAGGACAAGAAGGGAGAAAGAGGGGAGAGACAGGAGGATGAGGAGGCAAGATAAAGAAAGGACAGAGCAGGGAGAGGAAGAGAGAGGGACAGGCTGGAGAGGTGGAAACCAAGTCACAGGTGAGACGCAGGAAGACGGAGACAGAGGATGGAGAAAAGATATGAACCGACTTGGATACAAACAGGAAGAGCTGGAAGGGAGGAGTTAGTAAGGCAGGGAGTGAGCTGCCTGCCAGAAGTTGGTGCCAAACCGCTGCCCCCTACCCTGCTGGGGAGCAGAAGTAAAGGGGTAGATGGTACATCTTTGCTCTTCACAACTCTCCACTCTTATGGAGTCAGGGATTCCTCTAGGCACCCTGGCCTTCTGCAGGGCAACCAGTTCGGCCAGACGCACAGCTCCGCTCCCTCTGGCTGAGGGCTGTGCCCCAAGGGAAGGGATGCTTGGGTTTCCATGGAGTAGGGTTACTGTGGGGGGCCCAGAATGCTGTGAGGTGGGCCTGGACACCGGACCCCACTCAGTCCCCATGGAAGGACAGCTTGAGCTGGTGAAACTGGAATGAGAACTTCGAGGGAAGGATAGAGGCACAAGTCCTTCTGACCATCTCAAGTGGCCTGGAAAACCCAGGCCAGGGATCAGTCTCAGCTCTGCCCCAGACTCACTGCGTGATCTTGAGCAAGTCACCGCCCTCTGGGCCTCTGAGAAGGAGAGAGTGCCGGGTGGGAAGGCATGATGGACAGGCTGGGGACTGCAAACTATAATGTGGATTACGGTGAAGGCTTGTCAAGGATGGAGGCACAAGGGATGCTGGGAGACCGGGAAGAGGCGCTCACAGTGGGAGGAGTGTGAAGGGCGGGGCTAGGAGAGAGGCAGGAGGGGAGTGGGTCATCCTGAGACACCAGGGACTCCTGAAGAAAATCAGGGAGCAGAAGACAAAGGACAGAAAGACTGAAGGAAAGATGGGGCAGAAGGACAGGAACCCACAGGTGGCAGCCAAAGGTGGGAGTGGACAGAGAAAAAGACTACACGACAGGGTTGAGGGGCAGCAGGTGGACACAGATACACACAGAAAGACAGCCCAAGAGATAGGAACTGAGGCTAAGTGAGAGAGCAAGAAACAGACACGGCCTAGAAGCGAGACATCAAAGGAGACAGAGACAGGGCAGGCAGGGTGTCAGGCAGGCCCAGGACTCATAGCCCCAGAGACTGGGCAAAGCCAGATAAAGGTCAAAACCCAGCAGAGAGCTGAGCAACAGTGGGTACAGGAGAGACATCAGCAAAGGTGAGAGGCAAGGAGGGCCAGCAAAGGCACACGGGGTGAGGGAGAAGGCAAAGGGAGATAAAGAAATAGTAGCAGGTACAAGACTTGGGAGAAGGAGAGAAACGGCCAAACTCCGCAAAGAGAGATGGCCAGTCGGAAAGAGAGACAGTATGTCACAGCTGCACAGCAGGCCCATAGAAGAGGAAGGGGCAAGGGGGAAAAGCAACTGGGAGACAGAAAGGGAGAGTCAGGGAGAGAAACAGAGGTGGGGAGATGGAGTGAGTGCACTAGAGGGGCACAGGCAGGGACAGGGCAAGCGCCTGCAGGAGGGGCTAGACCCACACAGAGGCACAGCCACCCCAAGACACTCAGGAAAGCCGTGCAGGGTAGCAGGAGATCCTGGGGCCCGAAAGCCCCCAGATATGGAGAGAAAAGGGAGCAGAAAGGCCACGTGAGGTAACACAAAAGTGGGGAGAGAGAATGGGAGTGGAAAGAGTTGGACCAGCCAGGAAAAGTCAGCATGGACCATGGAGCAGTGGGGCAGCAGCTGAGGAGGGAGGGACGGAGGAGCCGGGCACCCAGAGTGGATCTGGGGGAAAGAGGTGGAAAAGTGACAGAGGGAAGACAGCCTCCAAGCCCAGAGGCAGAGAGAGGGAGGAGGACAGGTGAGCGGAGGCACAGAATGGAAAGAGAAGTGGAAAGAGACCTGCCAAGGGAGACTCGGAGAGAGGGAAGCCAGGGTGGAGGAGTTCTGACAGAGACAGGGATCTAAACAGAGACATGCTGAGAGCAGCCTGGGTTAACAGCGAAGAGAGAAGTTGGACAGAGTCAGAGAGGGGCCCAAGAGACACAGAAAATGGGGGCTCAAAAGCGGAAAGACATCTCCAGGAGACAGAGACTGGATGGGATGGGGACAGGGCCAGGGCCCACCGAAGGCAGGCAGAGGATGAGGCTCAGAGGAACAGAAAGAGCCAGTCTGGGACCAGGACGGAGGCTTGGAGACAGCAGGGGCACAGACATGCCAGGGGCCCGGGGTAAGTCAGAGCCCGAGTAAGAGCAGTCAGCCCAGTAGGACCCACAAAGCTGGAGAGCTGGGGGTGGCAGTGAGCTATGTACCCAGAATAAGGGGTGAGAAGAGGTGGAGGTGAATGGACACTGAGGCGATGGAGGGCGCAGAGCAGGCCCCTAGTGGGGGAGGGTACTTGCCAGTCCGGAGAACGGGGAGAATGTGGTGCCCCCCTGCCAGGCAGCACCAAGCCCAGCCTTCCAGGACCCAGAACCCAGCCCAATCCCCGCCCTGCAGACACTCACGGATCCTGGTGGGACGGAGGGCTGGGCTCCCTCGAGGCCCGAGGACCGACAGCGGGAGGTGCTCCGGCGCTGGGTGGCGGTGGGGCTGGGCGGGGGGAGAGGGCAGTCCACAGGGCCCCCTCCCCCGCCGCTGGCGGTGGCCCCCAACTAATCCAAAACGGTGGCTCCACAGAAGCAGGGAGGAAGGACAGGTGGAAGAGGAGAGGGCGGGCCGGGGAGGGGGAGGAAGGGGAAAGGAGAAAATGGAGGAGAGAAGGGGAGAGAGGAGAGGGGGAAGGAGCAAATGGAGGGGAAGGAGAGAGGAAAGGAGGAGAGGAAGGTGAAAACGGAAGGGGGGGCACAGGCAAAGCCGGGGGAGGGGGAAGCTGGCCCAGGAAAGGGCCCCCGCCCCCTCCCCTAGCCGGGCCGACCTGGGGGGGCCACAGGGGGCGAGGACTGGGTGGAGAAAAGGAAGCCGGCCATCAGGAGAAGTGGGGGAGGGGAGGGCCTGCTGGGGGAGGGGGCCGCCCCCTTCCCCCCTCCCCCCTGGAGCCTGGGCCCTGCCCTGGTTGAGGCAAGGGCCCGGAGTCCTCAAGCCCTCAGCCCCCACGGGAAAAGCATGCTGGGGGCGGGGAGAGCCCGGGAGTGGAGGGCTGGGGAGGATGGAGAGCTGGGAGACCCAGAGAGGCCGAGAAGGGGGCAAATGAGGTGGAGAGAGAGGGAGGAGAGAGAGGAGGATGGAGAGGAGCAGGTGGAAGAGAAAGGCGGAGGAGGGTGGGGTGTCCCAGGGGCTCCCGGTGCTGGGCCTCAGTGGGAGGGCCTGGTCACAGACTCCTGGTCCCCTGTGAGAAGAAGCCGCCGGCTCCAGTCCCCGGCTGGGCCTGCCTCCCCGCCGCTGGCTGCCGCCACTGCTGCCGCCACCGCTCAGTCTCCCCTCTGAGGCCGCCGCCTGCCTGCCCGCCTGCCTGCCCGCCTGCCTGCCCGCCTGCCGCCCGCGCTGGGTCCTGGAGCGCGGGGGGGTAGTGTTGGGGGGGTTGTGGGGAGAGAGAAGAGGGAGGGAGGGAGGCAGGGAGGAGGGCGGGCAGGAGGAAGGGAGGGAGGCAGGCAGTGAGCGAGTAGGGAGGGGAGTCGGGGGAGGGGGAGCCCGTATTGGTTGGGGATGGGGGCCCCCCCGCGAAGAGAACGCTGATGAGAAGACGGAGCTGCATTGGATGGAGGGCCCACCCCCGAGCCACCCCCTCTACCACCCCATGCCACCGCCCTGCCCAGACAGCCCTGGGCACAGGAGCCCACAGAGATGGGAGGCAAGGAGACCTGGGTAGAAGGCCACTGAGATGAGGGGAGAGGGCTACAGAGATGAAGAGAAATGAAGAGAAGAGAGACAGCCATCAAGACTGTCCAGAGAAGTGGGCTAAGGCCCATAAACCCCACAAGGACAGGAAAAGCCCAGGAATAAGAAAGAAAGGCCCATGGACACAAGGGAGCAGCCTGCACAGACAAGCAAAAGGACCTCGGAGACAAGGGGCAGTATGTGGACACAGAGACCTCCCATGAAGGAAAACAGGGGAGAAGCCAGAGACACGAGAGAGGCCCCTGGAAACAGAAACCACTCCTCGGATATGGGGAGCGGTCCACAGGGCAGGGAGAGAGCCAAGGAGAGCCGAAGAAGGTCACAGAAACAAGGGAGGCCTACAGACACCAGGGGACCACAAAGACAAGGATGTGGCTCATAGACACAAGAGAGCCGCTGAGGCAGGAGCTGCCAGCCTGGAGATGCGGGGCAAGCTTCTCCCAATAGAAATAGCTCCTATAGAGGTGAGGGGATGGGTGGTGAGTATGGGAATTCCCTATGGTGCACAGAGAAATCCTTGGGACCCACAGAGATGAGTGGGTGGAGAGAAGGGGCCCTCATTATCTAGTCGCAGGAGCAGAGAGGCAGTGGGAAAGGTGGATAGGAGAAGGACAGGGAGCTGGAGGGCAGAGCCAGGAGAAGTGGGAGACTCCTTCTCAGGGAACACTCTAAGCCTCTCAGAAGGAGCTGAGCAGGGCAGGGGGATGGAAGAGAGAAGCGACACAGATCTTGGAGTGGGGGTGGGTGGTGCATGGCTGGCTGGGGGGGTGAAATTTGGGGGGAAGAAACATGACAGTTGGCACTGAAGGCTGAGCCCGTGACTCACCACCACCCCCGATGCTCGTGATGGGGAGGAGACACTGACACACTCACGTGCAGCCCACAGCACATGTGACCGCATGCCTCGAACACACAGCTGGCACATGGCAACTCCTGGACCACATGCCAGCCTAGCACGGGAAGCCCTCTGCAAGCTGGCATGTGGGGCATCCTGGACACACATCTGACACATATATCTGACACTGAAGGACCACCAACTTAGCACACACCTCCTTACCCCACTTGGTCAACATCTACACCCACCCCTCAAACACCACACTCAGCTTCAGCCAGGCCTAAAAGCCCAGACTCACACCTGCCTCTGGGATTTTGCTTATGGAGGACTTCAACACAGAACACCATCCTTTCAACCGGGGCGGTTGCTCATTCCTGTAATCCCAGCACTTTGGAAGGCTGAGGCAAGTGGACCACCTGAGGTTGGGAGTTCAAGACCAGCCTGGCCAACATGGCAAAACCCCGTCATTACTAAAAATACAAAAATTAGCCAGGCCTGGTGGCACGCTCCTTTAGTCCCAGCTACTTGGGAGGCTGAGGCACGAGAATCGCTTGAACCTAGGAGGCAGAGGTTGCTGTGAGCCATGATCATGCGACTGCGCTCCAGCATGGGAGACAGAGCAAGACTCTATCTCACAAAAAAAAAAAAAAAAAAAAAAAAAAAAAAAAAAAATGACCACCATCCACTCTAAATCCAACCTGTCCCCGAAATCCTAGCCAGTCCTGTGCTACCACCTCCAGAAAGACCAGTCCAGACCTCAGCTTATTCCTATATCATCTGGAGAGAAGAGAGACCTACACAACCCAAATCAAGTTGGGAAGTCCAAGCAGAAGGCCTGAGAAGTTACCTAGCCTCAGATTTTCTTTTTTTCTTTCTTTTTTTTGAGATGGAGTCTCGCTGTGTTGCCCAAACGAGTGCAGTGGCGCGATCTCAGCTTACTGCAAGCTCCACCTCCCGGGTTCATGCCATTTTCCTGCCTCAGGCTCCCGAGTAGCTGGGACTATAGGTGCCCCCCACCACACCCCGCTAATTTTTTTGTATTTTTAGTAGAGATGGGGTTTCACCATGTTAGCCAGGATGGTCTTGATCTGATTCGTGATCTGCCTGCCTCGGCCTCCCAAAGTACTGGGATTACAGGTGTGAGCCACCACGCCCGGCCAGATTTTCTTTTCTTTCTTCTTTTTTTTTTTTTTTTTTGAGATGGAGTTTTGCTCTTGTTGCCCAGGTTGGAGTGCAACGGCGCCATCTTGGCTCACTGCAACCTCTGCCTCCGGGGTTCAAGTGATTCTATTGCCTCAGCCTCCCAAGTAACTGGGATTATAGGCATGCACTACCATGCCCGACTAATTCTGTATTTTTAGTACAGACGGAGTTTCTCAATGTTGGTCAGGCTGGTCTTGAACTCCTGACCTCGGGTGATCAGCCTGCCTGGGTCTCCCAAAGTGTTGGGATTACAGGTGTGACCCACCGCACCCAGCCCGATCCTCAGATTTTCAAGTGGGGAAAAGGAAGTTTCAGCAGGAGCAAGAATCTGCCCAAGGTCACACAGCCTGTCAAAAACTGAGCATGGCTTCCACTTCTCTGGCACCTATCCCAGGTGATTTTGCCCTAAGGGCAAACCCAGACTGCTTCAAAGCAGGCCAAGCCTAGCTTTAGCTCACTAATTTCCACCAGCTCTTTCCTTTACTTCTTGCATTCATCCCTTCAACATCGAACCACTTGAACTTCCCACCTGCCAGGCAGGTGAGCCTGGGGGCCAAGAATGGAGACCTTAAGGTCAACTCCTGGGTTGGAATCCTGACTCTTCCTAACTATGGGAACTATGACTAGTTACTTCTCTGGGCCTCGATGTTTTGTAAAGTCAGTATGACAGTTTCTCCCTTACATGATTGTTGAGAGGATTAAACTGAATAATGCATGTAAACATTGAGCATAATACCTAGCACGTCATAATACACTCAAGAGATGTTAGTTATTATCATTAGGCTCCTAGAGATACTAATAAAAATCACAACTGGCCAGACACAGTGGCTCACACATGTAATCCCACTATTTTGGGAGGCCAAGGCAGGAGGATGGTTTGAGCCCAGGAGTTCTGAGACAGCCTGGGCAACATGGTAAGGCTCTATCTCTACAAAAACAAAAAACAAAAAAACAAAAAACGGGCATGGTGGCTCATGCCTGTAATCCCAGCACTTTCGGAGGTCAAGGTAGACAGATCCACTTGAGGCCAGGAGTTTAAGACCAGCCTGGCCAACATGGCAAAAACCCGTCCCTACCAAAAAATATGAAAAATTAGCCGGGCATGGCAGCACATGCCTGTAATCTCAGCTACTCAGGAGGCTGAAAATTGCTTGAGCCTGGGAGGCAGAGGTTGCAGTCAGCTGAGATCACACCACTGCACTCCAGCCTGGGTGACAGAGCTACACTGTCTCAAAAAAAAAAAAAATAGGAGCTGGGCACAGTGGCTCACATCTGTAATCCCAACACTTTGGGAGGCCGAGTTGGGGGTGGATCATCTTAGGTCAGGAGTTTGAGACCAGCCTGGCCAACATGGCAAAATCCCGTCTTTACTAAAAATACAAAAATTAGCCGGGAGTGGTGGTGTGTGCCTGTAGTCCCAGCTACTCGGGAGGCTTAGGCAGGAGAATCACTTGAACCCAGGAGGCGAAGGTTGCAGTAAGCTGAGATCATGCCACTGTACTCCAGCCTGGGCGATGAGCGACAGGATCCCTCTCCAGAAAACAACAAAGCAAAACAAAAAATTAAATTAAAAAATAGGCCAGGTGCAGTGGCTCACGCCTACAATTCCAGCACTTTGGGAGGCCAAGGCAGGTGGATCATGAGGTCAGGAGATTGAGACCACCCTGACCAACATGGTGAAACCCCGTCTCTACTAAAAATACAAAAATTAGCCAGGCATGGTGGCAAGTACCTGTAGTAACAGCTACTCAGGAGGCTGAGGCAGGAGAATCGCTTGAACCCGGGAGGTGGAGGTTGCAGTGAGCCGAGATTGCGCCATTGTACTCCAGCCTGGGTGACAGAGCAAGACTCTGCCGTCTCAAAAATAAAATAAAATAAAATAAAATAAAGAGTAACTCCTAGATGTCTTTTACTCTGTGCCTCACAACCACCATGAGATGGGTTGTGATTAGCCCCATTTCACAGATTAGAAACTTAGGCTCAGGAGAGTTGACTTGCCCTAGAACCAGGATTCCAATCCAGCAATCTGTTTTAACTACACAGGCCTGCTGTTAGAGAATTTAATCCATGAGAAGGTTTGGACATCTAATGACTAAATGACCATAGCAAAGCTGATGAATTGGTCCCGGGTCTCACTGTGAGACGCATCCCATAGTGGCTTTTGGCATCAGGTAGGTAAATAAATAACAGTTCTGAGAGTGAGTTTCCTCATCCGAGAAACTGAAACTCCTCTGTGCTTGGGTTCAGGGAGTAGGTCTGGAAACGTTTCTTTTTTTCTTTTAGATGGAGCCTTGCTCTGTCGCCCAGGCTGGAGTGCAGTGGCACGATCTCGGCTCACTGCAACCTCGGCCTCCTGGGTGCAATCAAATCTTGTGCCTCAGTCTCCCGAGTTGCTGGGGTTACAGGCACAAGGCAGCACACCCAGCTAATTTTTTGTATTTTTAGCAAAGATGGTAGTTTCACTAGGTTGGCCAGGTGGGTCTCGAACGCCTGACTTCAAGTGATGAACCCTCCTCAGCCTCCCAAATTGTTGGGATTACAGGCGTGAGCCACGGCGCCCTGCCTGGAAACGTTTCTAACAGTACTGGGGCAACTCCCTCCCAAGGCCCTGAGGGGCGCAGGACCGAGGTGAGTAAGAATGGCCAGAGCTCCTTGGACACATGGGGCCCCGCTCTCGAGGTGTAAGGGTCAGAGTCACCCCGGAAGGAGGTGGAGTGGAGTCCGCCCGCTAATGGCTCACTTCCTTCAGGCTCTCACCCCGATTGTCCTTCAGGTCCTCTACCCGCCACATTCCCTGTTTCTTCCAGTTAAATTGTCTGTCCTTGCTTCTTCTTTTTCTCGATATCCTCGCTTTCCTTGCTTCCCCTCTGACATTTCTCCTCTCTCCACTTCCCAAAAGTCCCCTCGGTCTTTACCCTGTTTCTTCCTGTCGCCTTCATTTCCCTCCTTTTAATAAAGTGAGTCTGGAGCCTTGGTTTCCCTTTTCTCCCTCCATGTGACTGGCACTGAATGCAGTTTGCCCTCGCCCCATCACGCTAAGTGGTTTCACTTTCTCCCTCTGACCCTCGGGGAAACCACAAAGGTTCCTGTGCCTCCATTCCCCGGTTCCAGCCCTCGGGGTACCGCGTGCCTCAATTTCCCAGGATCTTCTCCTCCCTCTCCCTGACCCCAACGCTGACTCCCTCATGGCGTCCCCAAGATGGCGCCCGCGGCGGCGCTCCGCCGCCTGACGTCATCGCACCGCCCTCCGCTCAGAGTTGCCCACTGGAGCCGTCGGAGGCGGAGTCAAGGAGGAGGAGGAGCATCCTCTAGGGGGGATTAAAGGGGCGGGCACTATCCACCCGAGGGCTGACCGGTGAGGGAACGTCGCTAAAGGATTGGCTGGGCGCTGCGGGAAATCTCGATGCTCCTCACTATTGGCCCAAGCCTCAGAGACATGAACTTCGATTGGCTGAACGGCAGGGCCCGAGCGGGCGATGATTGGTTGCGTCCGGCCGTCCGTGCGGCGGCCGAGGAGGAAGGTGGGAGGGGCGTTGCTGAGGGTAGCTGGGGGCGAGAGTGAGGCTACGGAGCAGGCGAGAGGCGACGCGAGAGCTAGAGCGGGCGCAGCGTTAGGGTGGCCGTGCAAGGGGAGCCGTGGCCCGGGCCCGGGCCCGGGGCGTGCGAGACGGCTGAAGCAGGTGAGCGCGAGCGGGCGCGCAAAGGCTAGCCGGGCTGCCCTCCCTGCCGCCGCGGCCTCCTCTCGCCAGGCCGCCTGCGCACTGAGGGCCTGAGGGGGTGCGCGCCGGGCAGTTAGGGCGGAGCGGCACCAACGGCCGACCGGGCGCGCGGGCAGCAAGGCGGGGGCCGGGCCCGAACGGCAGGTAGGGAAGGGGCCTGGAGTCGCGTGCGGGGCTGAGTGAGGAGGGGCGGGGCTTGGGCTGGGGCTTTGGCGGGGCACCTGGGCGGGAAGGGGAGGCCTCAGAGCTGTCCCAGAAGGGCTCCGCCGCTCCCCAGGGTTTGGGGTAAAGGACTTGGTGGTGTGGCAAGTCCAGGACGAAGGGGCTGGGCCAGTTAGAGGCACTTGGGTGCCCAGTGAGGGGCTTAGGGCGTGAGAAAGATAATTAAGTTATTGGAGGGGGAAAATATCTAGTTCTTCCTGGAAAGAACTGGGGCAGTGAGAGGGGTTTTGGTGTGAAAAAAATATTAGGAAATCGATATCCCCAAGGGAGCGGTTTAGAGCTAAGGAGGGGTCCAGTTGTAACGGATGGGGTTAAAATAATGTGAAGAGGCCTTAAACCATGTATCAGGAGGTTGGGTACCCTTGGAATACGTGGAGAGAGGTCTCTGTACAAAGAAGGGTTATGTGTATTTTAAAAGGATGTTTGGGTGTTCCTAGAATGAGCCGGGAAAGGTAGTCTTTTTTAAGTACAGGTAATTAGGCCAAGGTGAAGATGGGATTTGGTTATTGGAAGGGGAGGAAGTAGGGTGGGAGAGATCTGTGTGCTAAAGTGACGAGTGCCTGGGAATTCCTGGAATGAGACTGAGAGGTTGCTAAGACGTTGGGGGTCTGAGTACCCCCAAAGTAGTAGGCTAGTGAGAGGGGCTTGAGTGTGAGGAAAAGGGGTCTGTCTGCTGGAGTAGGGTGGTGATGGGGGTTCTGTATGAGAATAGGAGGTCCGGGTATCCCTAAAGGGGATTTGGGCAGCAGGAGGGGTGTGTGTAGAAGGAGCTTAAGCCGTTGTGAAAGACGGTCTGGATATCCCTGGAATGGGTTGAGTGTGTGTGGATCTTTACACAAAGGAGTTATGTTGCTACGAAGAGGAGGGTCTGAGCATCCCTAGAATGGGTTAGGGTGGGTTGGGTCTTCTCGCAAATTAAAAAAGATTGGGTTAATAATGTGAAGGAGGATCTGGATATTCCTGAGATGGATTTGCCGGGGCAGGAGGAGGTCTGTTTGCAAGAGAGGCATAGGTTGATATGAAGTGAGGGTATGGGCGTCCCTGAATGAGTGGCTGTGTATGAATAGGAAGGGTTTTAATCAATGGGAAGAGGGGACCTGGGTATCCCAAAGGGGATTAGAATTGTCTATTTGGTCTTGGTACAAAGAAGAGGTGATGAATGTAAAGAGTGGAAAGATACCCTGGAGACAGGAGTTAGGGTGGTGGAAGGGTCTACGTCTGAAACAGGGAGGAGTAGGGCTTTGTGAAAATGGGTCTGGGTATTCTGGATAGGGGGTTAGGGTTGGAGAGAGCCTTGATTTGTAGAAGAGTTTAAGTAATTAAACAGGGCTGGGTATCATGAAGTGGTTAAGGTGGGCAAAGTCTGGGTGTGGAGATGGGTTAGGCCAATGTGAGAAAATCTGATTGGGGGGAAGGGATATAGTTTGACGTGAGGAATCCAGGCACCCGAGGAAGAGTTGGTGGGTAGCAGGGGAGTTGCGTGTGAAGGGGAGGGGTGGCACCGTGTACAGTGCTGAAAGTGGACTGGTGGGGCGTTGGGCAGTTTGAGTGGTCTGGGTGTAAAAAGAAGTCTGAGAACCTGGGAGAAGGAGCAGAGGTCATGGGAGGGGTGTGGCTGGGAGAAACAGGTGGGGAAGGCCTATATGGGGTTTCAGTTGGGTACCTTGGAGAGGAATGGGGTGATGTGAGTTGGTAAGAAAAGGAGTCAGTGGAAGGAGGTCTGAGTGGAGGTTCCCATGTGCTGGGCGTAACTGTGGGGCCCACTGTGAGGTGTGGGAGATGAGGGGACTGAACAGGTTACAAGGATCTGGTGGGTGGAATTTGATGCAAGTTGATGTAGAGGTGAGACTGGGTAAATTCCTGGGGAAGGGACTGCCTGGGAGATTTTGTGTTTGGTGTTTGTTATGTTGAAGGGAGGAAGGATTATTAGGAGGGAAGCAGAATTTTAAAAATCGAAGGAAGAACTTAGAGGGGGCATAGATCTAAGGTATTGGGAGTGGAGAGTGATAAAGGGAAGAGCTGAGGAATCGGTGACCTAACTGGTTTGTCCCCACTGTCCCCTCTTCCAGCCCAGGGCCTTGCTGCCGCCATGACTGAGGAATCAGAGGAGACAGTCCTGTACATTGAGCACCGCTATGTCTGCTCTGAGTGCAACCAGCTCTATGGATCCCTGGAAGAGGTGCTCATGCACCAAAACTCCCACGTGCCCCAGCAGCACTTTGAGCTGGTGGGCGTGGCTGACCCCGGAGTCACTGTTGCCACAGACACAGCTTCAGGCACGGGCCTCTATCAGACCCTTGTGCAGGAGAGCCAGTACCAGTGCCTGGAGTGCGGTCAACTGCTGATGTCGCCCAGCCAGCTCCTGGAGCACCAGGAGCTGCACCTGAAGATGATGACACCCCAGGAGGCAGTGCCAGCTGAGCCACCACCCAAGGCACCACCCCTGAGCTCCAGCACCATCCACTACGAATGTGTGGATTGCAAGGCTCTCTTTGCCAGCCAGGAGCTCTGGCTAAACCACCGGCAGACACACCTCCGGGCTACACCCACCAAGGCTCCTGCCCCTGTTGTCCTGGGGTCCCCAGTTGTTCTAGGGCCTCCTGTGGGCCAGGCCCGAGTGGCTGTGGAGCACTCATATCGAAAGGCAGAAGAGGGTGGGGAAGGGGCGACCGTCCCATCTGCCGCTGCCACCACCACTGAGGTGGTGACCGAGGTGGAGCTGCTCCTCTACAAGTGCTCTGAGTGCTCCCAGCTCTTCCAGCTGCCAGCGGATTTCCTGGAGCACCAGGCCACTCACTTCCCTGCTCCTGTCCCCGAGTCTCAGGAGCCTGCCCTACAGCAGGAGGTGCAGGCTTCGTCACCTGCAGAGGTGCCTGTGTCTCAGCCTGACCCCGTGCCAGCTTCTGACCACAGTTATGAGCTGCGCAATGGTGAAGCCATTGGGCGGGATCGCCGGGGGCGCAGGGCCCGGAGGAACAACAGTGGAGAAGCAGGCGGGGCAGCCACACAGGAGCTCTTCTGCTCAGCCTGTGACCAGCTGTTTCTCTCACCCCACCAGCTACAGCAGCACCTGCGGAGTCACCGGGAGGGCGTCTTTAAGTGCCCCCTGTGCAGTCGTGTCTTCCCCAGCCCTTCCAGTCTGGACCAGCATCTTGGAGACCACAGCAGCGAGTCACACTTCCTGTGTGTAGACTGTGGCCTGGCCTTTGGCACAGAGGCCCTCCTCCTCGCCCACCGGCGAGCCCACACCCCAAATCCTCTGCATTCATGTCCGTGTGGAAAGACCTTTGTCAACCTTACCAAGTTCCTTTATCACCGGCGTACTCATGGGGTAGGGGGTGTCCCTCTGCCCACAACACCAGTCCCACCAGAGGAACCTGTCATTGGTTTCCCTGAGCCAGCCCCCGCAGAGACTGGAGAGCCAGAGGCCCCTGAGCCCCCTGTGTCTGAGGAGACTTCAGCAGGGCCCGCTGCCCCAGGCACCTACCGCTGCCTCCTGTGCAGCCGTGAATTTGGAAAGGCCTTGCAGCTGACCCGGCACCAACGTTTTGTGCACCGGCTGGAGCGGCGCCATAAATGCAGCATTTGTGGCAAGATGTTCAAGAAGAAGTCTCATGTGCGTAACCACCTGCGCACGCACACAGGGGAGCGGCCCTTCCCTTGCCCTGACTGTTCCAAGCCCTTCAACTCGCCTGCCAACCTGGCCCGCCACCGGCTCACACACACAGGAGAGCGGCCCTATCGGTGTGGGGACTGTGGCAAGGCTTTCACACAGAGCTCCACACTGAGGCAGCACCGCTTGGTGCATGCCCAGCACTTCCCCTACCGCTGCCAGGAATGTGGGGTGCGTTTTCACCGCCCTTACCGCCTGCTCATGCACCGCTACCATCATACAGGTGAATACCCCTACAAGTGTCGTGAATGCCCCCGCTCTTTCTTGTTGCGCCGGCTGCTGGAGGTGCACCAGCTCGTGGTCCATGCTGGACGCCAGCCCCACCGCTGCCCATCCTGTGGGGCTGCCTTCCCCTCCTCACTGCGGCTCCGGGAGCACCGCTGTGCAGCCGCTGCTGCCCAGGCCCCACGGCGCTTTGAGTGTGGCACCTGTGGCAAGAAAGTGGGCTCAGCTGCTCGGCTGCAGGCACACGAGGCGGCCCATGCGGCTGCTGGGCCTGGAGAGGTCCTGGCTAAGGAGCCTCCTGCCCCTCGAGCCCCACGGGCCACTCGTGCACCAGTTGCCTCTCCAGCAGGCCTTGGAGGCACTGCTACAGCATCCCCTACAGCCCCTGCCCGCCGCCGGGGTCTAGAGTGCAGCGAGTGCAAGAAGCTGTTCAGCACAGAGACATCACTGCAGGTGCACCGGCGCATCCACACAGGTGAGCGGCCGTACCCATGTCCAGACTGTGGCAAGGCGTTCCGTCAGAGTACCCACCTGAAAGACCACCGGCGCCTGCACACAGGTGAGCGGCCCTTTGCCTGTGAAGTGTGTGGCAAGGCCTTTGCCATCTCCATGCGCCTGGCAGAGCATCGCCGCATCCACACAGGCGAACGACCCTACTCCTGCCCTGACTGTGGCAAGAGCTACCGCTCCTTCTCCAACCTCTGGAAGCACCGCAAGACCCATCAGCAGCAGCATCAGGCAGCTGTGCGGCAGCAGCTGGCAGAGGCGGAGGCTGCCGTTGGCCTGGCCGTGATGGAGACTGCTGTGGAGGCGCTGCCCCTGGTGGAAGCCATTGAGATCTACCCTCTGGCCGAGGCTGAGGGGGTCCAGATCAGTGGCTGACTCTGCCTGACTTCCTCTTCAGCACCTCCATGCCCTGTTGCTGAAGGCCCTCCAGCATCCCCTTAAGCATCTGTACATACTGTGTCCCTTCCTCTTCCCATCCCCACCACCTTGTAAGTTCTAAATTGGGTTTATTCTCTCCTGAGGTGGGTGCTTTGGGGTCCTTGACACACAAAAAGGTGCCCCCCCCACCTTCCACCTCTTAGCACTGGTGACCCCAAAAATGAAACCATCAATAAAGACCGAGTTGCCAGCAGTGTATAGAGTGGAATTTGGGAGTCACGGGTCTTACCTCTCATGGCTGCGTCATCAGCACCCAGAAGTGGGCCTGGCAGGTAGCAGGGATAGTACAAGCCCAGTAAACATTTGCTGGGCTGAGGAGAATGACCTGGTGGTCATGGGCATGGCTCTCAAGCAGGGCCTTCACTTTACTGCTAGATGGAGGTAGCATGACTGTTGCCACTAGAGGTCCCTGGCTCTGTGGAAAAGCTCAAGGGTGCTTGTGCTGGCAGCAGGAACTTTCAGAGAAATCAGATTCTGACACCCCTGTCCCTGACTCCTGGCCTGATATGGGCCTTGTCTCCCAAGGCCATCTGATTTTCTCATTGATCCCCAAGAGCAAATGCAGGTAGGCATGATCTCTGGGGTTGTGGAATTAAAGGAGATTCTGAATAATATGTGTCTGGACATAGGGGTGGTGACTTGAATCCCCCTGAAGTTGGACTTTGGCTCAGCCAACAGATTTTTATTGTGAGAGATGGATTGTTGGAATGGCTGGCCAATGTTTGAACATCTAGTTAGTCTCAAGTACTGTATAACAGTAATATTCACACTGATTAGGTGAGAACATTTTGCAGGGAAGGAATCTCCAGTCAAAAGCATTGAGATGACTTCCCCAAGGTCAGATTCAATCCAGGCAGGGCAGAGCTTGAATTCAAGCCTGATTTCTTTTTTTTTTTTTTTTTTCTGAGACGGAGTCTCGCTGTGCTCCCAGGCTGGAGTGCAGTGGCGTGATCTCGGCTCACTACAAGCTCCGCCTCCCGGGTTCACGCCATTCTCCCGCCTCAGCCTCCCAAGTAGCGGAGACTACAGGCGCCCGCCGCCACGCCCGGCTAGTTTTTTGTATTTTTAGTAGAGACGGGGTTTCACCATGTTAGCCAGGATAGTCTCGATCTCCTGACCTCGTGATCCACCCGCCTCGGCCTCCCAAAGTGCTGGGATTACAGGCTTGAGCCACCGCGCCCAGCCCAAGCCTGATTTCACCTCATTTGGTTTAATCACCCATATGCTTTTCTTTCCATTCTGCTGCCTTCTGCATACTTCGGGGAGGGTGGTGGAGACAAGATAGGAGTATGTGACTGGGGGGATGCTAGGCTGCTGTGCTAGCCTTGCTTCTGAGACCCCCTCTCCCCAGAGATTATTCCAAATCCTTCTGTTGAACTCGTTTTCCTTTTATTTATTTGTTTTTTCGAGATGGAGTCTGCTCTGCTGCCCAGGCTAGAGTGCAATGGTGTGGTCTTGGCTCACTGCAACCTCCACCTCCCAGGTTCAAGTGTTTCTCCTGCCGCAGTCTCCCAAGTGGCTCGGGTTACAGGCACATGCCACCACACCTGGCTAATTTTTGTATTTTTAGTAGAGGCGGGGTTTCACCATGTTGGTCAGACTGGTTTCCAACTCCCCACCTCAGGTGATCCACCCGCCTCAGCCTCCCAAAGTGCTGGGATTATAGGCATGAGCCACCGCGTCTGGCCTAAAACAAAACAAATTCTAATAATCTTGTAAAATAAATGACATAACATTTGAAAAGTTAATGTATTAGGGTTCTGTTTATACAAAAAAATACATAGTAGGTTATGTGTATGTGTATCCTACCTGTTATATGTATATAAATTATACAATAGATATAGTAAATATTGATACATATATAAAGAGATTTCTATTGTTTCACTCTTTATAGACATATATAAACATACATTTTAATGTTTATATACATATAGTTCCAAATCCTAGGATTTTTTTTAAATAAGTTCTGGGATACATGTGCAGAACGTGCAGGTTTGTTACATAGATATACACATGCCATGGTAGTTTGCTGCACCCATCAACCCGTCATCTACATTAGGTATTTCTCCTAATGTTATCCCTCCCTAGCCCCCTGCCCTCTGACAGGCCCTAGTGTGTGATGCTCACCTCCCTGTGTCCATGTGTTCTCATTGTTCAACCCACTTATGAGTGAGAACATGTGGTGTTTGGTTTTCTGTTCCTGTGTTAGGTTTTATTTTTATCTTTTTATTAGAAATGGGGTCTTGCTGTGTTGGCCAGGCTGGTCTCAAACTCCTGGCCTCAAGGGATCATCCCATTTTGGCCTCCAAAAGTGCTGGGATTAGAGGCATGAGGCACAACACCTGGCCTGTTTGTTTTTTTTTTTTTTCTATTTTTCAGAGTCTTGCTTTGTCACCCAGGCTGGAATGCAGTTGCACGATCACGGCTCACTGCAGCTTCAACCTCCTGGGCTCAAGTGATCCTTCTGCCTCAGCCTCCCAAGTTGCTGGAACTACAGGCGAGCACCACCACCTCTGCCTAATTTATTTTGTAGAGATGGGGTCTTGGGTTCTGTGTGGTTCTGACTGTGCCACCTTGAAGATGGGCCTGAAGCCAATGATCTTCCTCCATGTACTATTCTTATGCCTCATCCCTGCTGACTTGTTTGGAGAGTTGAGGAGCTTTGCGTTTTTTCAGTCTTGCCAAAACACTGCAATGCTAACACTTCTTGTCTTACTACATATGAAACCTATCTTTCACTCATACTTTTCCTGTGCCTCGATTCCCACAGCCCTCACTATCGAATTTGCAGGATCCCAGCACCTGTGTGCCAAGCATACATTAGAGGGTGGAACAGTGTTGAGGAAACCCAACAGCTCTTTTTTTTTCCCCCCGCTGAGATAGAGTCTCACTCTGTCACCCAGGCTAGAGTGTTGTGGCATGATCTCGGCTCACTGCAACCTCTACCTCCCAACTTCAAGTGATTCTTGTGCCTCAGCTGCCCGAGTAGCTGGGATTACAGGCGTGCACCACCACGCCTGGCTAATTTTTGTATTTTTAGCAGAATGGGGCTTCACCACGTTGGGCAGGCTAGTCTTGAACTCCTGGCCTCAAGTGATTCGCCAGCCTGGTCCTCCCAAAATGCTGAGAGTATAGGCGTGAGCCACCACGCCCAGTCTTAACAGTGCATTTTCAATACCACTTCTACCTTTCAGTGGTGAGGTCTTAGGGATCAGTCCATGGCCTGATGGCCTGCAGAAGCTGTTGCTACTGCCGAATGACAGATGGGCACAATAATTTGAGTAAGAGTTAATGTTGCTCTAAAAAGGAAGAGGGTTGGTGTGTACATTGTACCACTAGAAAACTTCAAAATCAACTCTGGTTGATTGGTTTGAGACAGGGTCTCGCTCTGTCACCACCCAGGCTGGAGTGCAGTGGTACTATCATAGCTCACTGCAGCCTTGGCCTCCCGGGCTCAAGAGCTCCACCTCAGCCTCCCAAGTAGCTGGGACCACAGATGTACACCATTATGCCCAGTTAATTTTGTTCAATTTTTTTTTTTTTTTTTTTTTTTGAAATGGAGTCTCACTCTGTCATCCAGGCTGGAGTGCAGTGGTACTATCATAGCTCACTGCAGCCTTGGCCTCCCGGGCTCAAGTGATCCTCCTGCCTCAGCCTCCCAAGTAGCTGGGACTACAGGCATGCACCACCACGCCCGGCTAATTTTTGTATTTTTAGTACAGACGCGGTTTTACCATATTGGCTAGGCTGGTCTCGAACTCCTGACCTAATGATCCACCCACCTCAGCCTCCCAAAGTGCTGGGATTCCAGGCATGAGCCACCACACCTGGCCCAATTGTGTTCAATTTTTGTAGAGATGGGGTCTCACCGTGTTGCCCAGGCTGGTGTTGAACTCCTGGGCTCAAGGGTTCTTCTTGCCTTGGCCTCCTCAATTCTAGGGTTACAGGCAGGAGCCACCGCACATGGCCTGGTTTTTTTTGTTTGTTTGTTTTTTTGAGATGGAATCTCGCTCTGTCGCCTGATCTGGAGTGCAATGACGCAATCTCGGCTCACTGCAACTTCCACCTCCCGGATTCAAGCTATTCTCTAGCCTCAGCCTCCTGAGTAGCTAGGATTACAAGCATGCACCACCACGTCTGGCTAATTTTTGTTATTTTTAGTAGAGATGGGGTTTCACCGTGTTAGCCAGGCTGATCTCGAATTCCTGACCTCAGGTGATCCGCCTGCCTCAGCCTCCCAAAGCGTTGGGATTACAGGCGTGAGCTACCGCGCCTGGCGTTTTGTTTTTTGCATTTTTTTGGTGATGTGAAAAAATGACGTATAACTCTTCTGTTAATTTATTTGACAATTTGTGAGGCTGAAACTTTTTAATGTGTTCATTGAAACTCTGGTTTTGAAGAGTCTCTTTAGTCCTCTAGGGAAGCACCCAGGGATGGAAATGGGGAGGTACTTGCTGGTTTCCTGGCTTTCTCATAGTTCTCATTTATTGAAGACAGTGTGCTGGAGCCCAGTCCTAAGCACTTTACTTAGACCATCATCCTACAACCTTGTGAGGTAGGTATTGTCCCTAATTTACAGTGAGGACACAGAAACTCACATATTGAAGGTCATAGAACGGCAGAATTGAGATTTGAATTAGGAAATGTGAATTCATCCTGAATTCAAAGACGGTTCTTTGGCAAGAACATTTGTGCAGGTTTTACTTCCAAACAAACATTCACTATTTTTAAACATTTATTTTATTTATTATTATTTTTTAAACAAGGTCTCTCTCTGTTACTCAGACTGGAGTGCAGTGGCATGATCACGGTTCATTGCGGCCTCGACATCCTGGGCTCAAGCGATCCTCCCACCTCAGTCTCCCAAGTAGCTAGGACTAGACAACAGGCACACGCCACGATGCCTAGTTCAGTTTTTGGGGCTTTTGTAGAGAAGAGTTCTCACTCTGTTGCCCAGACTGTGAACATTCACTATTGGAACAGAAGTAAAGCCCTCCCCTCCCCAGCATACAGATCTCCAACCCCACACCCTGATGTCTTCACCACTCTTCCCAGGACAGAGAGGAGACCAAGGGAGAGCAGGCATCATTTCTCTCTGTACAGTTTTTTTTATTTTTTGATGTTTGTTGTTCAGATGAATGACACACTCAAGTTACAAAAATGGGGCCTTAAAAGAAGCACATTGTACAATGAACAAGCAGATTGGAGTTAAGAACACTGAAACACTAACCCGCTACCACGAGAAGAGACAGGGAGGGGGTACAGGAAGGGAAGGAAGGGGCTACCAACACAGGGGTCAGACGGAACTGAAAGGGAGGCTAACTTGGTGAGGATGGAGGAAAGACAGGTCTACTCTGGGGCTGATTTCTGGATGCCAGTTCTTGGGCACCCTTGCCTTGTACTTGCCACCCCCTCCAACTTCACCCACCTCCATTCCAACCTGGTCATTCTGGGCGGTGAGAGACACCCACACCAGAACGGGCTGCGCCAATCAGGTCTTTACGAGGTAGGGTGGTCACCTTGCCCTAGTGCAGCCCTGGATTTGGAAGGTGATGGTGGCGGCAGTGGGACAAGAGGCCAGAAAGGAGTTGATCAAAGTTCAGGCCCCTGCTCTTCCCAAAGACTCCTCACTCTTTCCCCACCCCACCATGATCCAAAGGCCCTCTATGAGTTGCCGAGAGAGGCCCCCAGTCACCCTGCAATTATATAAATAAATAAATACTGAGCCCCTGGGTTTGGGGGACAGGTTGGGGGAGGGGCAGCAAGGATAGAGGACAGGAAAGAGAGGAAGGGGAGGGAGGCAAAAGGGAGGGGTCACAGACATAGTAAATAGTCGTCTCCATCCCAGCAACACTTCTCTCTGGATTTTTCTCTCCTTTTCTTGTTTGTTTAACAAGGAGCTAACAATTCAAGGACAAATACTTAAAAATATACATTATTTTTTCTTTGTTTCCGCCTTTGTCATCGTCGTCTTGCTTTGGAGACTGCTGAGGTCAAAGTTTAAACCGCATGAAGGACCTGCGGCTTGGAGTTTTTGTGTATTTTTTTTTATTTTTATTTTTAAATTTTTTTCACTTTTTTTTCCAACGTATAAAAAGGTAGCGGAGTTGTCTGTGGGTTTTTTTTTTTTTTTTTAAATGGTTAAATCTTTGGTTTGTTTCTTTTTTCTCTTGGAGGCCTTTATCTCTCGCACTTGCCTTTCCCACTCAGAGACCAGTGGGGGCCCGCGTGTCTCAATCTTGCTGTCTGTCTCACTCTCTCACTCAGGTCCCCCTACCCTGGGCTAGAGGAAGAGAGAGGCACCCTGGTATTCGGGTGGGTTAGAAAAACTAGTCAGGTCAAGAGGTCACCCTGACTTGGCTAGTCCCTCGCCAAATCTCCCCAGGGCTTGGAGAGCCCATCATGGCCTTCTCCGGGGAGATGGGTAGAAAACTCATATCCTTCCCCTCCTCCTGATCTCAGCCCCAACTCCTACTGGGGCTTGGGTTCCCCATCCCTACCCACCCCAACACCCACCCCACCCCCCAGAAGAGAACAGAGAGAGGTGGTTTAGTTACTGGCATCAGTTTTTTTTTTTTTTTTTTTTGGCACAATGAAAAGGCCCACCATTAGGGTAGACCCAGTCTCTGTCCCTCCCTTAAGTAGGAGGTCAAGGTTGGGGAGAAGAGAAATTCAGAGGGCTCCCCACTGCTCCAATCCACTCATCTCTCCTCTCTTTCTAGCCCAGGCCCTCAGCTCCCAACCTCGGACACCTAACCTAGCCCATAGCCTAGCCTGGGGTTTCCCTCCCCATCCCCCACATAAAGCTCCCCAGCCCTCCAACTCTCTCGCTCACACACAGACACACGGACACAGGCTCTGTACAGACCACAAAATAAAAACGATGAGATAGTTTTGTTTCCCGGAGTCGAGACGGGGGACCAGAGTGGAAGGGGCAGATGGGGGTGGGGGGCATGAATTCCCCCATCACCTTCCCAACCCTGGCTCCCTCCAGCCCCCCAGCCCCTTGCCCTGGCTGGCCCCCAGCCAACGATATTTGGTTTCCTTTTTTTAACATTAAAGTTCTATGAGGTATTTGGTGCCTTATCTCGAGTCCTCGGGGGAGGGGGGCCCAGGGGGGAGACCTGGGGCTCACCTGCCCCTCCTTCCCTCCTACCCCCTTCCCAATATTTGGTTTCACAGCTGTAGTTAAAGCTTGGGATTTGGTTATTTTTCCCCCTCCCAGGAATTTTCTTTTTTCTTGTTTTTCTTTTCCTAGGTGTGAGGGTTGGATGGGGAGGGTCCCCAGCACCCCTGGCTGCACAGGGTTCCCTCCACCAACGTCAGGGCATCTGCCCCATCCCTGCCCCCTGCTCCTCCTTGTCTGTTTGCCCCACTACCCCATACTGGGGTGGGGAGAGGTCCCAGGTGGTGGGACTTGATGGGGAGGAAGCAGGATGAAGTGGGTGGTGGTGAGTCCTGGATTTTCTTTCCTTTTTTTTTTTTTTTTTTCCTTTTTGGTCTAGAATCATAGTTTTTGTTTGAGTCATCTCCACCATGCCTTCCATGCTGCCTGTCTTCTCGGAGGGGGTTTTTGGTTGTAATTCCTTTCATTTTGCTCTGCTCAAATGTCCTTCCTATTTGGTCAGGAGCCCTTGGCCCCCTCTCCACCCTTGGGCTGGGGTCCAGGCCCTCTTGCCAGTCCCTTCTCTCTTCAGGAAATAAACATGGACAAACTCAGAGGTAGGGTAAGGGCAGGGAGTCATTCAGCGGAGATGCTTACATTCCGGCGAGGATGGGTCAACAAGGTGCCAGGCCCCATCATGCCAGGGGTGGGAGGGGCGGCTACTCCACCACTGCCCGGACAAGGCACCCAGAGGCCCCTGCAATGGCCGAGTCTCTGCTGCCTCCGTGGCCCAGCCCAACAGTTTCATTTCCCGGGTGGGAGAAGGGAGACAAGAAAAAAGAGAACGCTGAGGCCTGGGGCTCCATCTGCCTCTCCTCAAAGTGTCCGGCAGAAAGTGGAAGCTGCCCAGGCCAAAGCCCTGTGGTCTCAGGGCTCTCCCCTCTCTCTGCTCCTGCCCAGCGAGGGGCGGGGGCCACACTGTGGCTGTCAGGCCCCACCCTGATTTCAATGGCTCGTGTCCTTCACTGCAACACTTTGGTTTGAGGAGAGACACAGAAAGAACAAGATTGAGAGAGGAGAGAGGAGAGCAAAGGGAGACGGAGGAGAGAGGAAGGAGGGAGAAGAGAAGAAGGAGAGGAGGAGAGAGGACAGACAAAAGAGAACCGAAAAAGAAATCAAAGGAGGAATCAAACCACCAGAAAGTTAAGTTTTCCTTCATCTGTTCTTTTTGCTTTCTTACTCCCTTTTTTCCTGTCTTTCTTTTTTTAAAGCTTTTTCAGTTGATTTGGGGGGGGAGTTTGGGGTTCTTCACCCCTGTCCCTGACACCCTCTCTCAGCCCCACCCACCTGCTTCTATCTGCCCTGGCCGAGGGACAGGCCCTGCCCTAGCCGCCCCCTCCGGCTTTCCCAAAGACGACGTCCATGAGGTATTTGTGAAGAGAAAGAAGCATCCGTCCTTCTGTCCGCCTCGGGGAACAAGGGCCACCGGTGCAGGGGCTTGGCTCCGCCTCGCGGTTCCGTCTTATTCTTGAAGAGTCCTCATCTTCTTTCCCTTTTATATATATATATACGTATATATATATATAAATTCTTTTTTTCTAGTTTAAATTTATTGTTTGTTTCTGTTTTTTTGGTTCAAAACTTTGTTGGCCTCCACAATAGCAGGAGGGCAGGGTGGCTCCCAGTGGCGTCTCTCCTCTGTCCGTCGTCAGTGGAGATGTGTCCAGGGCTGGTCAAACACAGGGTCCAGCCAAGACTTGTGGAGGTCTTGTGGGATTGGTGGCCACCACCGCACCCTCTCAGATGGGGACCACAGGCTGTGGCACTGTCCCACCACATGGACCCTGATGGGGATGCCATCTCGAGGAACCCCACCACTGGGGTGTGTGCGTGTGTGCATGTGGGGGGGAGGGAGAGGCATTCGCCAGTACCAGAGGGGCACGGGGTGGGAAAAGCAAGGTGAGTTCTCTTTTTGGTTTCTGGTTAATGTCAAAGAACGTGAAGGATCCCACGGATAGGCACTGGAATATGAATTTTTTTTTTTTCAGGGAAACAGACAGGATGGAAAAAGACAACTGAATGCCCTCAACTGAATGCCTTCATCCCCTCTAGCCTGAAACTTCCACCTTCCCATAAGATGGGGAGGGGGTCGCTTCCAGAGCAGAGGAGGGTGACAGGGTTGAGGAGGGACTTGTGAGAGCTAGAACTTGGCAAAATGGCCTAGCCCACCTTTCAAAGGGGAAAAGAGGGAGGAACAGGGGATGAAAAGTTGTCCCCAGGCCTTCTCTTGAACTCTCCCCTGGCTGGGGGGAGGCAGGAGGTTAAAGCGAGCCCCCCTGCCCAGGTGGGGAGAGCTGGGGGCCAGGGGAGAGGGGGACACATGGTAGGGACACATTCTGTTGAGCACAATGCTAAAAATTCTGTACATCCTTTGGATGAAGCTACTGAATATTTGGTGTAAGGTTGTTCAGGCCCTTTCTCTTTCACCTTCTGGAAAAGAACATTTGGTGGGTGGTGCTGAGCCCCAGCCCATCAGCCCATCTGCCCAGGCTGTGCCCTGTCTTCGCTGGTCCAGGGCTGGGGGCCGGGACTAGGAAGCTGGCATCTTCTTTTTCCATCTGTAGCCCCCATGCGGGGAGGCAGGGTTGGGGGTTGGTCCCACAGCCAGGGCTCGGTGGCATGAGGTCTGACCTGCTGGAGGCTTCTCCGCCCCTGGCTGGGGTTCTTATTTGGCGTTGTAGCAGTGAGGGTGAGCACGCTGAGGTCTGGCTCGCGACTGGTTTTTTGGTTTGTTTGATTTTGTGGGTTTTTTTTTTTTTTTTTTTT